AGATAGAGTAAATGTTTACATGATGCACTCAGACACCAGTCAGACATCAGATAAAGTACATGTTTACATGATGCACTCAGACATCAGTCAGATAACAGATAAAGTACATATTTACATGATGCACTCAGACATCAGTCAGATAACAGATAAAGTACATGTTTACATGATGCACTCAAACATCAGTCAGATAACAGATAAAGTACATGTTTACATGATGCACTCAAACATCAGTCAGATAACAGATAAAGTACATGTTGACATGATGCACTCAGACACCAGTCAGACATCAGATAAAGTACATGTTGACATGATGCACTCAGACATCAGTCAGATAACAGATAAAGTACATGTTTACATGATGCACTCAGACATCAGTCAGATAACAGATAAAGTACATGTTTACATGATGCACTCAGACATCAGTCAGATAACAGATAAAGTACATGTTTACATGATGCACTCAGACATCAGTCAGATAACAGATAAAGTAAATGTGTACGTGTTACACTCAAACATCAGTCTACAGCATATAAAGTACATGTGTTATGGCAGTACACTTGCAGACTGCTGGACTTGTATGGTTCAGGTATGAGCTTAAGCATACAGAGAGATAAAGAAGAAGGTTCCTTATCTAATACTAGAAAGGAGATGATAATGATATTTGTTTCATAAGTTTTGCAATTATGGTTTTTTTATCCTTTATTTTCCTTTTTTTTCTAGTGATCCAAAAAGTTCCTTTGTTCCAAGTTTTACTATCTGAGCACATAATTTGTTGAGTTGAGTTGTTGAGTTGTTGAGTTGAGTTGTTGAGTTGAGTTGTTGAGTTGGGTTGTTGAGTTGAGTTGTTGAGTTGGGTTGTTGAGTTGGGTTGTTGAGTTGAGTTGTTGAGTTGGGTTGTTGCGTTGAGTTGTTAAGTTAAGAACTAATGTCACATCACTCAGGACATTTCCTTCAGTCATCTGTTCTCAGGAGCCAGCAAACCATTCCGTTGTGGGTGGTATAAGTAACTGTTTGATGATATGTCTCTCTGACCGCTCCGTTGTGGGTGGTATAAGTAACTGTTTGATGATATGTCTCTCTGACCGTTTCGTTGTGGGTGGTATAAGTAACTGTTTGATGATATGTCTCTCTGACCGTTTCGTTGTGGGTGGTATAAGTAACTGTTTGATGATATGTCTCTCTGACCGTTCGGTTGTGGGTGGTATAAGTAACTGTTTGATGATATGTCTCTCTGACCGTTTCGTTGTGGGTGGTATAAGTAACTGTTTGATGATATGTCTCTCTGACCATTTCGTTGTGGGTGGTATAAGTGACTGTTTGATGATATGTCCCTCTGACCATTTCGTTGTGCGTGGTATAAGTAACTGTTTGATGATATGTCTCTCTGACCGTTCCGTTGTGGGTGGTATAAGTAACTGTTTGATGATATGTCCCTCTGACCATTCCGTTGTGGGTGGTATAAGTAACTGTTTGATGATATGTCCCGTTTCGTTGCGGGTGGTACCACTATCTACATACTTTAATGATCTGTTGCTCTTCCACATTGTTCACTTGTTCCTACTGAAATAAACCCCTACGCAGTTCTTCTGCCTCTCAAAACAGAGCCATCAGTATAGATAACCACATCACCTGGGAGGGTATCTTAGATAACCACGTCACCTGGTAGGGTATTTTAGATAACCACATCACCTGGGAGGATATCTTAGATAACCACATCAACTGTGTGTCTTAGATAACCACATCACCTGGGAGGGTATCTTAGATAACCACATCACCTGGTAGGGTATCTTAGATAACCACATCACCTGGGAGGGTATCTTAGATAACCACATCACCTGGTAGGGTATCTTAGATAACCACATCACCTGGGAGGGTATCTTAGATAACCACATCATCTGGAAGGGTATCTTAGATAACCACATCACATGGGAGGTTATCTTAGAAAACCACGTCACCTGGGAGAGTATCTTAGATAACCACATCACCTGGGAGGATATCTTAGATAACCACATCACCTGGGAGGATATCTTAGATAACCACATCAGCTGGGAGGGTATCTTAGATAACCAAATCACCGTGGAGGGTATCTTAGATAACCACATCACCTGGGAGTATATCTTAGATAACCACATCACCTGGGAGGATATCTTAGATAATCACTTCACCTTGGAGGGTATCTTAGATAACCACATCAACTGTGTGTCTTAGATAACCACATCACCTGGGAGGGTATCTTAGATAACCACATCACCTGGGAGGATATCTTAGATAACTACATCAGCTGGGTAGGTATCTTAGAAAACCACATCACATGGGAGGGAATCTTAGATAACCACATCATCTGGAAGGGTATTTTAGATAATCACATCACCTCGGAGGATATCTTAGATAACCACACCACCTGTGAGGGTATCTTAGATAACCACATCACCTGGGAGGATATCTTAAATAACCACATCACCTGGGAGGATATCTTAGATAACCACATCACCTGGTAGGGTATCTTAGATAACCACATCACCTGGGAGGGTATCTTAGATAACCACATCACCTGGGAGGGTATCTTAGATAACCACATCACCTGGGAGGGAATCTTAGATAACCATATCACCTGGGAGGGTATCTTAGATAACCACCTCACCTGGGAGGATATCTTAGATAACCACATCACCTGGGAGGGTATCTTAGATAACCACATCACCTGGGAGGATATCTTAGATAACCACATCACCTGGGAGGATATCTTAGATAACCATATCACCTGGTAGGATATCTTAAATAACCACATCACCTGGGAGGATATCTTAGATAACCACATACCTGGGAGGAAATCTTAGATAACCACATACCTGGGAGGGTATCTTAGATAACCACATCACCTGGGGGGGGGGGGGGTATCTTAGATAACCACATCACCTGGGAGGATATCTTAGATAACCACTTCACCTGGGAGGGTGTCTTAGATAACCACATCACCCTGGAGGGTATCTTAGATAACCACATCACCTGGGAGGATATCTTAGATAACCACTTCACCTGGGAGGGTGTCTTAGATAACCACATCACCTGGGAGGGTATCTTAGATAACCACATCACCTGGGAGGATATCTTAGATAACCACATCAGCTGGAAGGGTATCTTAGATAACCACATCACCTGGGAGGGTATCTTAGATGACCACATCACCTGAAAGGGAATCTTAGATAACCACATCCACTGTGAGGGTATCTTAGATAACCACATCACCTGGGAGGATATCTTAGATAACCACATCATCTGGAAGGGTATTTTAGATAACCACATCACCTGGGAGGATATCTTAGATAACCACACCACCTGTGAGGGTATCTTAAATAACCACACCACCTGTGAGGGTATCTTAGATAACCACATCACCTGGGAGGATATCATAGATAACCACATGACCTAGGAGGGTATCTTAGATAACCACGTCACCTGTGAGGGTCTCTTTTTTAACCACATCACCTGGTAGGGTATCTTAGATAACCACATCACCTTGGAGGGTATCTTAGATAACCACATCACCTGGGAGGGTATCTTAGATAACCACATCACCTGGGAGGGTATCTTAGATAACCACATCACCTGGGAGGGAATCTTAGATAACCATATAAACTGGGAGGGTATCTTAAATAACCACATCACCTGGGAGGATATCTTAGATAACCACATCACCTGGGAGGGTATCTTAGATAACCACATCACCTGGGAGGATATCTTAGATAACCACATCACCTGGGAGGATATCTTAGATAACCATATCACCTGGGAGGATATCTTAGATAACCACATCACCTGGGAGTGTATCTTAACGAACCATTTGAATTTCTGATTCTGACTAACTGCATCAAGGGTTTCATAAAGGCAGTTATTTTTGTCTGTGGCTACCTTAAGTATAATTAGCTAGCAGGAATTTAAGCCTGCCTGGACTAGTGGGTATTGCCAGCAGGTATCAGATGCAGACTACTGGGGAATCTCTTGTACATCCAAGAATCACCCGCATATCTTCATTCTGAAGGCATACAGCCCATACTAACTGCGTCTTTGATGTGGTGTGCTTCACCAGTCCACAATCCACCACTGAAATGGTCAGTTGCTAGTACATTGTGACCAGATTTCTTTGCTCCGTGTCATTTCATCATCATGTAGGAGGTCCAGCAAAGCAGATGTAGGAGCAGAACAGAGCTCACATCTCTCAGATGCCTGAAAGGAAAACATAACGCGTTCTGTCGCCAGCTATCTTGCCTCAGGCACTCTCTTGCCCAAAGTATGTTATGTTCGGTGCCTTCTTTATGCTGGTCAACCCCTAACCTCTTTCCTGGTAACATGCCCTCTGCTACTGTTCTTTCCAATTCACTGCGGCACTTGATCTTGCCTATGAGTCAAAATGTTTCAGTTTCAGGGATAAGATGCTGTTTACTAGCCAGGCTTTCTCTATGTTCAGATCTTGTCAGTTGTTTCCCTTTTGCTCTGCCATATAAGTTGCTGCCATCATTTTCATTGCATTGAGCCCCTGATGGCATTTTGTTGTGACTGCCTTATGAAGGAAGGGCTTTCTCCTAATGGCAGGTATATTTATTAAATGTTTTTTGTTGCTCAGACGTGTGCTCATTCTTTAGTGCATCTTTCAATTGGTGGCATATCCTTTACAGGATGTTGCAGAATCCAGTCTCAGCATTTTGTTTTATTGCTGTTGAGGTTTTTCTAAGCAAATTTTACATTCAGTTTGCCATAGCTTTCTGAAGGGTTAGCTCTCTGTACCCTGTTGAAACCAATGCAAGACAAACCATCTACAGCGGGGATCAAACCCGGCATCCCAGCATTATAAAGCGGATCGCAACATCTAAGCCACAGACGCTGTCGCATCTTTCAGGTCAGAAAAAAAATTATTCATTGAAAAGGGTCTGACTGTAAAAATCCAGTTTGCATTTGTGCTCGAGCTTCTGCTATTGTGGTTTTGTGTTTCTTTGTGTCCACAGATGCAGATCTGGCACATATCAAGCCTAGTGAGTGTGAATCTCTGGTGGCACTTGGCAAGAAACAGAAACAATACTTCTGGCAGTACAATATTCAAGCCAAGGGACCTAAAGGAACCAGACTGAAGCTGGCAGTAGAGTCCCCCAGCGACCCACATGTACTCAATGACTTTGAAGATCCTGTATTTGATCAGTGCAACACCGCCATTGCTGGCATCAGGCATGGTGGCAAGGCCAGGAAAGGAGATGGAAATGAAATTACCCCAAACCCCAAAAAGCTCTTCATGATTGGCCATCAGCTGTTGAGACTCAGTCATCAAATCAATGCCTGCCAGTTAGGCACTGATGTGCCACTAGCCAAGAGGAATGAAGCACGCAAGGAGAAAAACAAACTAGCTTCCAGAGCGTGCAGATTGAAGAAAAAAGCTCAACATGAGGCCAACAAAATCAAACTATATGGCCTGGAACAAGAGCATTGTCAGTATATTTATTTGTTTCATTTCCATATCCATGTCAATACTGTTTTTACATCTTTACATCCACTTCTATATATTTCTATGTCTATGGCTATATTTTCTTTCCATTTCAACATCCATGCCGATATTTTCTTTCCCTGCCTCACAGATCAACAATGACAACCACACAGATAAAAATTGACAGCTACGCAGATCAACAGTGACAACCGCACAGATCAACATTGACAACCATACAGATCAACAGTGAACACCACACATATCCACAAAGACAACCCTACAGATCAACACTGACAACCATACGGACCAATGATGACAACCATGCAGATCAACAATGACAACATACAAATCAAAGTTAAACCATACAGATCAACAATGACAACCAAACAGATCAACAATTACAACCATATGGATCAATGATGACAACCATGCAGATCAACAGTGACAACCACACATCTCAACAACAATATTCACAAAAATCAGCAATGACAATCACATATATCAACAACAGTCACACAGATCAACCATGACAATCACACAGATAAACAATAACATCCATACAGCCTTTCAACAACTTCCATGCATCAACAATGACAACCATACAGCAGATCAACAACAACAACCACACAGCAGATCAACAACAACAACCATACAGCAGATCAACAACAACAACCACACAGCAGATCAACAACAACAACCATACAGCAGATCAACAACAACAACCATACAGATCAACAATGACAACCATACAGCAGATCAACAACAACAACCACACAGATCAACAATGACAACCATACAGATTAACAATGACAACCATACAGATCAACAATGACAACCATTCAGATCAACAATGACAACCATACAGGTCAACAATGACAACCATACAGGTTAACAATGACAACCATACAGATTAACAATGACAACCATACAGATCAACAATGACAACCATTCAGATCAACAATGACAACCATACAGCAGATCAACAATGACAACCATACAGATTAACAATGACAACCATACAGATCAACAATGACAACCATACAGCAGATCAACAATGACAACCATACAGATTAACAATGACAACCATACAGATCAACAATGACAACCATTCAGATCAACAATGACAACCATACAGGTCAACAATGACAACCATACAGGTCAACAATGACAACCATTCAGATCAACAATGACAACCATACAGGTCAACAATGACAACCATACAGGTTAACAATGACAACCATACAGATTAACAATGACAACCATACAGATCAACAATGACAACCATTCAGATCAACAATGACAACCATACAGGTCAACAATGACAACCATTCAGATCAACAATGACAACCATTCAGATCAACAATGACAACCATACAGGTCAACAATGACAACCATACAGGTCAACAATGACAACCATACAGATTAACAATGACAACCATACAGATCAACAATGACAACCATTCAGATCAACAATGACAACCATACAGGTCAACAATGACAACCATTCAGATCAACAATGACAACCATTCAGATCAACAATGACAACCATACAGGTCAACTATGACAACCATACAGATACAGTAAACGGTGACAACCATACAGCAGATCAACAACAACCACCACACAGATCAACAATGACAACCACACAGATCAACAATGACAACCATGCACATGATCAATTACATATAATATCTGCTTTATAATTTATAATAGTTGAATGTGTGTACATTCTTCTGTATAAATAGATTTTGATTCTTTATCTTCTGTTGCAACAAAGTGGCTTGATTTGTTCTACAGATCAGCTGAATTCCGTGTTGCAGTTTATTTGGCCAAGAATCCACAAGAAAGCCAAATCTCTCCTGGCAAACACTGACATGCCTGCACCTTTGACACATTTACTAGAGGCACAGATTAGCCGCAACCTAAGTAAGTTTTCATATCACTGGTAATACTTATCACTTTATCATTTGACGAGTGATACTTAAACTCCCATATCACTGGTAATACTCACCACATTATCATATAACTGGTAATACTTAACACATTATCATATCACTGGTAATAGTTATCACATGATCATTTCACTGGTAATAGTTATAATCATATCACTGGTAATAGTTATCACATGATCATATCACTGGTAATACTTACTGAATTATCATATCACTGGTAATACTTACCTCAGGATCATATCACTGGTAAAACTTACCTCATTATCATATCACTGGTAATACTTATCACTTTATCATTTGACAAGTGATACTTAAACTCCCATATCACTGGTAATACTCACCACATTATCATATAACTGGTAATACTTAACACATTATCATATCACTGGTAATAGTTATCACATGATCATTTCACTGGTAATAGTTATAATCATATCACTGGTAATAGTTATCACATGATCATATCACTGGTAATACTTACTGAATTATCATATCACTGGTAATACTTACCTCATTATCATATCACTGGTAAAACTGACCTCATTATCATATCACTGGTAATACTTACCTCATTATCATATCACTGGTAGAACTTACCTCATCATCATATCACTGGTAATATTTACTGCATTATCATATCACTGGTAATACTTACCTCATTATCATATCACTGGTAATACTTACCTCATTATCATATCACTGGTAATACTTACCTAATTATCATATCACTGGTAATACCTCATTATCATATCACTGGTAATACTTACCTCATTATCATATCACTGGTAGAACTTACCTCATCATCATATCACTGGTAATATTTACTGCATTATCATATCACTGGTAATACTTACCTCATTATCATATCACTGGTAATACTTACCTCATTATCATATCACTGGTAATACTTACCTAATTATCATATCACTGGTAATACCTCATTATCATATCACTGGTAATACTTACCTCATTATCATATCACTGGTAATACTTACCTCAGTATTATATCACTTGACTACCTATCAGATCAGTGGCATTTGTCTATCAGATAGTGGCATTCATCTGTCTGTCATATCTGTCATTTTTCTATTAGATTATTTTATTTCTCTGTCAGATAGTGACATTCATCTGTCTGTCATATCTGTCATTTTTCTATTAGATTATTTTATTTCTCTGTCAGATAGTGACATTTATCTGTCTGTCATATCTGTCATTTTTCTATTAGATTGTTTTATTTCTCTATCAGATAGTGCCATTTGTGTATCTCAGATCATTTCACTTATCTGTCGTATAGAGGCATTTGTCTGTCTATCATATCTATTGCATTTGTCTATCAGACAGTGGGATTTATCTATCAGCTAATGGCATGTGTCTGTCTATCATATTTGTGATATATGTCTGTCTCTCGAATCTGTGACATTTTTCTATCCATCATATCTTTGACATTAGTCTTTCAAGTATATCTGTGGTATTTGTTTATTTATCATATCAGTGGCATTGTCTATCAATAAAATCTGTGACATTTGTCTTTCTGTTGTTTCTGTGATATTTATCTATGTGGCATGTCTCTTTCAGATAGATGCTTTTGTCCATCAGAGAGTGGCATTCATTTCTTGATCATATATGTGGCATTTGTCCATCAGAGAGTGGCATTCATCTCTTGATCATATATGTGGCATTTGTCCATCAGAGAGTGGCATTCATCTCTTGATCATATATGTGGCATTTGTCCATCAGCTAGTGGCATTTTTCTATATATCATCTCAGTGACATTTTTCTGTCTTATCTGTAACATCTGTCTATCAGATAGTAGCATTTGTCTGTCTATCAGATAGTAGCATTTGTCTGTCTATCATATCTGTGCCACTATTCAGATGAGGATCCCACAGGCACAAGTCCCAGAAACTCTGTCTAACCTTTGGGCCCCTGATTACAGCCTTGCTGGAGCTTTGAAATAACAAACAATAAATGTGCCATTTTGGGGCAGAGTATTTGAAACATGTGTTGAATTGGCTTTTTACCCCACCAGGACATCACACAAGCGATAAACACCCGATGACACAAAGTGCCACCATGCGGATGAGGATCACCGTGGAGAGGTCCCAGAAACCGCGTTCAGACATTTGGCCATAATGATGACCTGCCTATATTGCGGCCCCTGGCAAAAGCCAGAGTGGGGCTTCAAGTAACAAAAAATAACGTCCTAAGAAGGACGTAAGGAATATATATCGAAACATGTATTGATCGGCATTCATAAGACAAGTATAAAGATTGATGATTATTTAAATAAAATAAATAGCCATGTATTGATTGGCATTCATAAAAACAAGTTGAAAGATTGATGACTGTTTTATATATTTGCAGAGAGTATGATAGCCGGCCACACAGTGGATTTTGTCAACAGTGTCATACTGAAGGTGGAAAGTGGAGACTACAGCGGTGGCTTAAACATTAAACGCAGTCACAAAGCATGAATAAGCTCCCTTGTCTAAAACATCATTCAGGGCCCAAGTTCAGAAAACACCAAAAGCCTTTGAGACCTCTATATAATAAAACGGAGACTTTACGAGATTGCTGAAAAATTTCAAGAGACCAAACAAACAAAACCGCAAGTGCACCAATTGTTCTGGTGTACAAGGCGCAAGATACACGGCTGCCTATAACTACAGGAGTGCAAGAAGGCACTGACAACAGCCGTAACTGACAACAATCCTTACCATGAAGCAAGAAACAGATACAAGGCAGCCAGGCCGTCCAGACTACAGGAAACCAGTCAGTGGAGAAACCAACCTGCCCAGCCACTGAAAGTAAACAAACTGACATAGAACACTGAACTTCAAAGAAATATCTCTTCTGAGAACAGAAATTAGAACAAAGAACGAACAGAACGTCAGAAAAATGATACTGGTACTAACAGAACCGAGATGCTAGACTTAATTTCCCAACTGGTAGGAGAAATCAAAGCCTTGAAAGAAGAAAGGCTAGAACAAACTACACAGTGTGTAAGACTGCTAGCAGAAGACGCAGAAACCAAAAAAAAAAATGTACAAAAAACTATTATCAAGTCTCCGAGCAACCAGATAAAAGAAGAAACATACCGATAAGAAGAAAGAGAGGAGTACAAAAAAGGTTTAATGGAACTTTAGGAAGCCCGTGAGAGCGCCTACTGTGAAGTGGCCTTACTAGTGCAAGCTAAAGACAAAGCAGAAGCTGTGAGGAATGAAAGAAAGAAAGTACAAGAACTCTTACAACAAGAAAGAAACTGAAGCTGGAAAAATCATAGAGAAACCCAGCACTAGCGGGCCTAACAAAAGTACAGTTTTAGAGATGACAATCCAGCAACACAAAGCCAGTCCACTGAGCTGGCAACAACAAACAATCAATGTAAAGAAACTAAAGGAGCGAACCAGGAAAACAAAGAATCAGAGGCAACCAGAATAGAACTCTGAAGTTAAAACTGCAACCTACAAGCAGATAAATGAAGCCTATGTCTAAAAATTAGCTTAACGATTGATTGAAGCGATCTACCAACTTTTTCTTTATGAGACTGTCAACAGAGTCTATACCAACCATTTCTTTATGAGACTGTTAACAGAATCTGTACCAACCATTTCTTAATGCGACTGTTACCAGAGTCTGTACCAACCATTTTTTTATGAGACTGTCAACAGTGTCTGTACCAACACTTTTTTAATGAGACTGTTAACATAGTCTGCACTGACCATTTCTTCATGAGACTATTAACACAGTTTCTAGAACCATTTCTTATGTAACAGTGTAAGTGCACGTGGCTGTAATTACATACACCGTGCTCTGGCTGGAGCGTTGTTCAGTAGTTATAATCCAGAGAGCAGAATAGAACCCATTTGTACTGTGAATCTAACCAGAAGCCACCTTAGACAGAACTTACCATACATTCGCTTAGAAAAAGAACTTTAGTTAATTGTGCAACGTTTACAATTGACACTTGCTGATTAAATTCCCCGCTGGCCAGAAGTGATCACAAAGGCAAAAGGTTTTTAATTTAGCCAAGTATTAATTTAGCCTAAATAGTTAAGTCTAGCTAAGATTTTTAATTAAATTGTGCTACAGCAATAAATGATCCCCAACTGTGCAGACAACCTTCAGAATAATTAACTAATCACAGAAACAACGGGTCTAAACATACTCAGACAAACAAGAAGGTGCCCCCTTTAGAAACACATCATGTTTTGGAAACACATCATGTTTTGGAAACACATCATGTTTTGGAAACACATCATGTTTTGGAAACACATCATGTTTTGGAAACACATCATGTTTTGGAAACACATCATGTTTTGGAAACACATCATGTTTTGGAAACACATCATGTTTTGGAAACACATCATGTTTTGGAAACACATCATGTTTTGGAAACACATCATGTTTTGGAAACACATCATGTTTTGGAAACACATCATGTTTTGGAAACACATCATGTTTTGGAAACACATCATGTTTTTGAAACACATCATGTTTTGGAAACACATCATGTTTTGGAAACACATCATGTTTTGGAAACACATCATGTTTTGGAAAACACATCATGTTTTGGAAACACATCATGTTTTGGAAACACATCATGTTTTGGAAACACATCATGTTTTGGAAACACATCATGTTTTGGAAACACATCATGTTTTGGAAACACATCATGTTTTGGAAACACATCATGTTTTGGAAACACATCATGTTTTGGAAACACATCATGTTTTGGAAACACATCATGTTTTGGAAAACTAATGCAAAGTCATTGCTACCTATTGTTTGGCTGATGCTGATAAAGAGTCCAATCACATGTCGTTAGTTGAATCATTAGAAAATCAGCACAGATAATGAGTTAGCAGCATAACTGACAACACATTTCTCAAAGGACCTCTAAAGTTGTTAGCAATAAAGTACATAGTTACAGCATGTCTGGGTTGTTGGTGATCAACCCAGCAACAGGAAAGCTATATAACGAATGACAGTCAGTTGCAGAAAGACAGTTGGCAAGACATCCCCATGTAGAGTTGTTCTTGGGCTCTGTATGCGGCCAGTTGTGGCTCACTTTGGACCGACAGTAGACATGAAGGCTTTCTAGATGTGTACTTTTGATTTAAAAGTGGAAGAATTTATTTAGCATTTAATGATTTACTGTGCAGAAGTATTATATAGGTGTATTTATTACAGCATTTTGAGACGCAGAATTAAAATGTCAATTTATTGTTCATTTTTAATTGTGAAGTTTTAGAAGTAAATTTTAAGATTCTGGAAGATATAACAGAAGGTATTAACAATATACATTGTAGGGGGTGCGTTAGCACAGTCAATAGGAGACTTACTTTCAAATCCAGCTGCAGTCTACGGCCGGTGTTCGAAACCGGATGGTTCCTGGGCTTCACCCAGCCTCTAGGAAATGGGTATCAGAGTTAACACTATGTGGTAAATGGAGGAATGTCTCTGTAGCTACAGCGTTTCGTGCAGATGGCGACACAGGCGGACAGTTTCTTATCAGCTGTCCGTACTGGTGGCAGAGCACTTATGGTTTATAACCGAGTGCAATGACGCTAGTTCACATCTCCAGACTTTACCTTTTAATATGCATTGTGTTGTATGATTATACATGTGTAGGATGTAAAAAAAAAGACTGGAGTTAAATAAAGGAAGAACATAATAAGAAAAATGTATAGCACAGCTTGATATTGTTGGGTAATGATTAGCACCAGACATTTTTCAGTCAAGAGGACTAAGCAACTTTACAGAGCACTCATGGCTGTCAGCGTGACCGGTCAGACCTGCGGTCATATGGGAAAACACTGCCACACTTCCTGAGACTGTTAACAGAGTTTCTTGAACCATTTATTCATGAGACTATTAACATAAATCAGTCTGTGTTCTCCAGCCAAGTGTCCTTTGTGTGCCCCGCAAACGAGTTTTAGTCTCGTATGTTACATGTGTTTCAAGGTTGTTCCACTCTGTTAATCAGTTATACGTGTCTTGCAAAGTGTTGTTTCCCTTGTCAGCCTCAGTTTATCTTGTTTCCTTATTGGCATCTATGTACCATGAATTTCTGGTCGTCTAGTGCTTGTTGTGAAGTTACTGTCATAATATGCATGTGTACATAGCCACACAAGACCTTAATATGGCTGAATAGATTGTTTCCTCGCAACACCATGGGATTCTCTAAACTTACATCATTACATCCTCCCTCACCCATGTTATCTCATCTAATGTTTCCAGGCTACAGATAGTCAGATGTAATGTTTCCAGGCTACAGATAGTCAGATGTAATGTTTCCAGGCTACAGATACTCAGATGTAATGTTTCCAGGCTACAGATAGTCAGATGTAATGTTTCCAGGCTACCGATAGTCAGATGTAATGTTTCCAGGCTACAGATAGTCAGATGTAATGTTTCCAGGCTACAGATAGTCAGATCTAATGTTTCCAGGCTACAGATAGTCAGATGTAATGTTTCCAGGCTACAGATAGTCAGATGTAATGTTTCCAGGCTACAGATAGTCAGATCTAATGTTTCCAGGCTACAGATAGTCAGATGTAATGTTTCCAGGCTACAGATAGTCAGATGTAATGTTTCCAGGCTACAGATATTCAGATCTAATGTTTCCAGGCTACAGATAGTCAGTTGTAATGTTTCCAGGCTACAGATACTCAGATGTAATGTTTCCAGGCTACAGATAGTCAGGTGTAATGTTTCCAGGCTACAGATACTCAGGTGTAATTTTTCCAGGCTACAGATAGTCAGCTGTAATGTTTCCAGGCTACAGATAGTCAGATGTAATGTCTCCAGGCTACAGATAGTCAGATGTAATGTTTCCAGGCTACAGATAGTCAGATGTAATGTTTCCAGGCTACAGATACTTAGATGTAATGTTTCCAGGCTACAGATACTCAGATGTAATGTTTCCAGGCTACAGATACTCAGATGTAATTTTTCCAGGCTACAGATACTCAGATGTAATGTTTCCAGGCTACAGATACTCAGATGTAATGTTTCCAGGCTACATATACTCAGATGTATTGTTTCCAGGCTACAGATACTCAGATGTAATGTTTCCAGGCTACAGATAGTCAGATGTAATGTTTCCAGGCTACCGATAGTCAGATGTAATGTTTGCAGGCTACAGATAGTCAGATGTAATGTTTCCAGGCTACCGATAGTCAGATGTAATGTTTCCAGGCTACAGATAGTCAGATGTAATGTTTCCAGGCTACCGATAGTCAGATGTAATGTTTCCAGGCTACCGATAGTCAGATGTAATGTTTGCAGGCTACAGATAGTCAGATGTAATGTTTCCAGGCTACCGATAGTCAGATGTAATGTTTCCAGGCTACAGATATTCAGATGTAATGTTTCCAGGCTACAGATACTCAGTTGTAATGTTTCCAGGCTACAGATACTCAGATGTAATCTTTCCAGGCTACAGATACTCAGATGTAATGTTTCCAGG